TAAGTCTTTATTATCATGAGTTAATAATTAGTAAATAATATAATTTTATTCTTAACTCATGATAAATAGACTTATATTTGTGTTAATGTAAAAAGTGGTTTTCAGTTGATTAATGTGAATTTTTAAGTAATTATATAATTTTACATGAATTTATATGATTTTTACAATCTTACTTTTGAGATAAATAAAGAAAAAGAAATAAAAATAAGATAAAATGAGGGGGGACCCGCTGACCAGCTGGGCCCGCAAGCAGGTTAGAAGCTCAGTTGGGGAGTAGCCGTGAGTAGAGGCTCGAGTGGCTTGGACCGATAGGGGCATGTGTGCGCCACTCTCCTTCCACGTCACCGGTGGCTAGCCGACTGTGGGACAAGGAGTGGTCGTATACACGAGAGAAGGAACTTTACTTAGAAATGTAACATTACTATATATTTACCAAAAAATCGACACACAACTAATGTGGGACTAAACTCGGCACCTTCTTCAGAAGGGGCAGACAACCAACGTGAGTTAGAATCCTCCTAGAGTTAAAAGACATATATCTCTTGCAGATCGCCGGTGAAGGATTAAGCAACGAGAATCGCTGGATCATCAGTGAAAATCTTATCAATGTGATTCACGCAGCATTGCTACTAAAATTGTTGAACGATTCGCAATAAAAGGATTGCAAATCTATTGAGTAAATCATCTTTGATTGATCGACAAATAAACCGTCGTCGGGAAGAGGACGATCCGCTAGGAGATGAGTTGTCACCTCCTAAAAGCGTACCAAATGCAATGAAGAGCCTCCTCTTATTGTGTGGACCTGAGGATGAAGCTTCTTGACATATGCCCCACCTCCATCCAACTCCTCTCCGTCAAGTGACAGCCGCCGAAGAGCCGCAAAGTTATCATTTTTTCGCTCTGCCGGGTGACAGCCACCGGAGACAACTCGATGACCCATTTCATTAATCTCTAGACTTCGCAAGAAGATCTAGAGATTGCCCACGTCGTCTTTGTCTAAGGAGAGCCTTCGAGGTTGTGAACACTACACGACGATTGTCTTGAATGCTCAAGATTCCGGTACATTGCTGATGCATCGCCATCACAACACTAGAACTCTATTTTCCTACTTTCAACTTACTTTACACTTCATTTAGTGATATTTTTGTGATTCTAATTTACCAAAAGATACTTCGTTCAATTATGATTCTTCTGGATTTTACATATCTTAATTTGATTAATTAAATCATCTGTAATCGCTTACATAAGAATTATCGAGCAGAACTCTATTTCCGCCCAATTTGTATTCACTGGGTGCTGCCATCATCTTGACGTCTACACCCTTATTTCCTTTTTTCGTGAATTTTAAATATATTTTCTTTACATTTCCTAGTATAAAATTCATAGAAAATCGTATTCATTGAGAAAAATTTTGAATAATTACCAGATATTATATTACATCCCTGTAATCAACTTAGAAAATTATTCCTATTTTTTGAAAGTTTTATTGAATTATAATTGATATATTTGTTTAGAAATACTTCTAAATATCTGAAAAATCATATTTTCTAGTTTTATAAATTTTATATTTGTGTGATTTAATAGACAATGACTGAGTCATGTCAGAAGGGGAGCAACGCACACATGCATAGAGTGAGGCCTTTGTCACTCAAGCTTGGCTCATGGCTCTCCTAGTCTGGGTCTACCCCCTCAACCACTATCCCCTTTTCTAGTCAACTATAGAGTGCCAACTTGCCAATAGTCAAAAGATTTTTCTATATTTATTTATTTTTTATTTTAATAATTAATAATTACGTAACTATTTTAACTTTAGACTTCTAAATTAATAATATATTCTATATTTATTCTAAAAGTTAACAAAATAAAATAAATAATATATCTAATTAAAACACATAAATCTAGCTTTAACAAAAGTAAGACTAAAATGGACCATCAATACTATCTAAAGTAAATTTTTGGGTTACTACAAGAGAATCAACTACATCTCAAATGTAAAAAAAAGTTATTTCAATCATTAAAGAATTAAATTTCTTAATCACTTGGTATTAGCACAAAGAGTGGAGGTAGATAACAAAGTGGCGACTATGAGAAATTGGCCCACTCCAAACTTTATCAGACATTTATATGGATTTGTAGGCCCAATAGGTTATTACGGAAGATTTATTACTAACTATGCCCTTATTTTAGCACCATTAAATCTGTTGCTCAAAAAGGGTGGGTTCCTATGGTTGGACATAGTAGAGGAATCCTTCTAACATCTCAAGACATTCATAATTTCAGCACTAGTATTAGCACTTCCTGATTTCTCTCAATTATTTAAAGTCAAAACTAATACTTCTTGGCAAGGTATTGAAATAGTCTTAATGCATTGAAGAAAATCAATTACTTATTTCAGCTAGGTGTTAGTTCTTAAGAATTGTGCCAAATCATTTTATGAGAGAGAACTAATGGTGATAATATTGACAGTCCAAAAATGACATCATTACTTGACAGGACAGCAATTTATCATTTATATAGACCATTATAGTTTGAATTCTTACTTGAACATAAACAAATTATCTCCCCATTATCATAAATGACTTGTGAAGCTTCTTTCATATGATTTTGAAATGAAGTACGAAAAAGAATCAACCAACTTGGCAGCAAACACACTCTCGAGACCACCATGTCCTCCACACCTTGATTTATAATAAATTAAGGATGAAATTTGATCAGCCACAAAACTCTCTCATATTGTGGCAAACCTACATAAGGGGGAAGAAAATTCTTTGCATTATTTATTAACTCATAAACTGTTATGTCACAAATAGTTGGTTGTCCTAGCACCAAACTCTATACTAATTCCAAAAAAAATTGAGGAATGCTATGCAAGTGGATTTTTTTGCCAAAGAAGTGTTTTGGCAAGGAATGAAGTAGTCAATTCAAGAATTATACGAGATAGAATCCTTAGCCCCAATAGGATTACTACAGCCCTTGACTATTTTTAGCAAGTCGAGGAAGATAATTGAATTTCTCCTAGTCTCAATGAATAGATTAATGAAGTATGCACACTTTGTTCTAGTGAAACATCAATTTTAGTTGTAGATATCGTTGATATTTTCGTCAAAAGAGGTAATTCAACTGCATGGGATTCCTAAGACCATTTTTAATTGTGACAATTTTCCTCAATACACTCATTGTAAGACACAAAACTCAAAACGAGTACGGCTTTCCATCTAGAAATAGATGACTAAACAAAAGGGTAAATAGGTGGTTAGAAACTTATCTCTGGTGTTTTTCATCTAACAAGCCAAGTCAATGGAGCTGGTAGATTTCTTGGCAAGAGCTTTGTCACAACACATAGTTCTACTAGTCCCTACAAACAATGCCATTTTGAGCCTCATATGGGAGAGACCCACTGCCAATTCAACATTTTGGAATGCAGTCAATTAAACTACAATTTTTTGAAGAGTGTTTGTTGGAATGGGATGCTATTCTGACTGACATAAATGAGAAAAACTACTCAAGGCACAAACACGCATAAAGACACAAGAAGACAAACAGATAAGTCAATTATATGCCCGGTGATTAAGTCTATATGAAATTGCAACCATATAAAATGCAGTCTTTGGCAAGGTGACGGAATGAGAAGCTTAATGCAAGATCTTTTGGGCCTTATGAGATCCTAAAATAGATCAACCATGTAGCTTACTGCCTCAACTTACCCTTTTCATTCAAAATTCATCACATTTTTTATTTTTCACAGTTCAAGAATGTGACGAGAGCACACCAACAAGGGCACCCTCATCCAACTGCCTTAGACACGAACATGAAGTGGGAAGTCCAACTTGAGTAAGTACTCGATGTACACCATACTCCAAGAGATCTGGAGGTGTAGGTGCTCTGGAAGGGCCTCTCACAATTCGAAGTCACTTGGGAGTAAGCACAAGACATCCAGTATCTATTTCCCGAATTACACCTTGGGGACAAGGCGTTATAAGAAGTGGGGGGTATTGTTAGGCCACTAGACCTAACATATACTGTGAGAGAAAAATGATGGAGGGACTTACCCGTGGTAACCCATCCTTTCTATGAGCTCACACTCTAATATGAGATGTTTCCACTTCTAGGAAACTCAAAGATTCATAATTTCACATGTTCACAGTGTTGTTATCATTCTTCATGCCAAACCCATGTGAAATCCAGACAAAACTTCTTCTGTATGTGAGGTTTTCCGTGTGACTTATGATTTCATTGGATTAGGATTCAAACTGCTCTTGTGGAACTCTTATGGATATCAACTGATGCAGGTGATGGCTTTGTTGCAAGCATGCAACAGATTCACACTTAACTGGGTGTAACAATTCCCACACAATAGCCGATTCAAATAGGGGTAGAGAACAATACTTGTGATTAAGAAAACAATAAAAGAGAACTGAAGGATGGAAGTGTAGATTTGTGTGGGCGAAAATGGGGGGAGTGAGGGGGAGAACAGAGAGGTAGATGAAGAGGGTATTAACCCTAACACAAGGCTTCGAGGGGCCCCAGCCTCCTTAGGTCTGTGATACCCCCTTTTACTATCTATCTGGGTTATTATATATGAATGATTTTTTTGACCCCTAAAAACATAGAGAACAGACTGTCTACACAAAACTTGTTGCATAGTGAAAGGCCCAGTTGAAATCCCTTGGGGTGCTGATTGGGCAATTTATATTAGAATCATGAATACCTCTGAATTCAGCAAAGATGTGTTTCAGAAGTCTTAAGAGACCGAGCTGGGTTACTATAAAACTAATCTCTGCAAGAAAAACAGACACTTCGAAAGAAACTTGTTTACATTTGCTCCCTCAGGAATCCCCAGAGGATGTTAGACCTCCGATGAGATTTCCTACAGTTTAGTGCCGACTGTTATCAGTCTGCATGGTTCAAACTCCTCAGGCGTAGACAACAGATACTGGCAAATTGAGCTGGATCTCTCCATGAGGATTGGCCGACCATTTGGGAAAAAAGCACTACACTTCCTACTTCAGATCTGGATCTATGACAGACAACCCTTCTGGTGCCTTCAGACTAAGTGCTCCTCTGCCACTAGTACGCGGACTCTGCTCCTTCAGCTCGCTCACCGAAGGATTATGAGCTGTATAACGAGGACAATGCATTCCCCTAGAATCACTGGCAGGGGTTCCAGCTGGAGTCTTCACTTTGGGGCTTCTCGTGTGCTTGACCTCACCACGACTCCGGGTAATTATTTCATCCAAGTTCTCCCCACTTTCTGCAAAAGATCCTGTCTTCATTGCTGGGTCTACGTCCTGATTGGCAAACCATGATAAGTGAGTGAGAATCAGTGCCGAATTGTACTCGCAAATAAAATCCTGCTAGAACTTACAGTAGCCGTATTGTACGCCAAAGCAGGTGATTCTTCATACTCTGCTGCATCCAAGTCTGTGAGATGAACCCCCTTGAAGAGTTTGGGCATGATATATTGTCTGACTGGAACTAACAGCATGATCATCAGCGGAAACAGTACACCAGCGATAGGAATCCAAGTGATTCCAAAGCACACCAGCAAGTAAGCTGCTTGGAAGAGAGTGAAGATGGCAATGGTTCTGAATGGCACCGTCTCCACAAACGTTGCATGGTACTCGTCAAGCACTCTGTCAAGATATTGGTTATGATGAATGCCTAGCACTGATATGTGAAATAAAAGGGCCATCCAGCCCATAAATAACTGGCAAAAGCTAAGATTAGACCCAAACAATGCAACACTGGGATTACCTCTTTATTACCTTCAATTGAATACAGGACTATTCTACCACACTCCCTAATGTTCAAGCTGACCTTTTAATTACCTCTGCCACATCAACGACTCCAACACAGGACAAACCAGAAGCTATGAGCCATGTAAGAGAACTAAACCATCCAAGTAAAAACCAATTGGCAATGAGCAGATTAGCCCATATGTTTTTAATCACTGGATTTCATCGTCCCAGGCAATGTGATATTACTCTAAGTTGAGCTATTCTCAGGTAATTACTAACTAGATGATGAATCTCTGAAAGTTGTGAACTATCCGACTTACTTGTATCTTCTGCTCGGGGCAGTGAAAAGGAGAAGAATTCTCTCCCAAAACTGATTACCCGGTAGGCTCTCGATAGCCATAAAGGCAAAGTAGCCCCACAGAACAGATGTTGGGATCTTTCTCAGAAACGGCATGGCAGCAACACAGCCTCCGACCATAATAGACTGCAACAGGTTGCTTAGACGCTGCTCTTTTACCTCAACAGGTAAGAGATCATCAATTTCCTTCTCAATGTCAAATACTGCCTTATCTACTGGTGCATCTATATCTTCTAAGCTCGAGGCTAGCTGGATCGTTGAGTCCTTCAGTTCCTTCAAACCCTGGTTGAGAACCAGTGATATATTGAAGAAATGGATGCTTCGAAAGTTAACAAGAAACAAAGAAAATCAATGTAATGTACCCTCATAGACTGCTGCTGGTAGATAAGGGGGGTTTGCATCTGCTGATAAGCCTCCTGCATGTTTCCATATAGTTGTCCCAAGCTGGAATTGTCTTTCATGCTATGCTTTGCTGTGGCCACTAGCCGATTGCGAAGCAGCTGAGAGGAAGGAAACCTTATTATAAGTCTAGAATCTAAGTATTGTAGAGAGGCTAATAACAGGCGTCAAAATCCTACCTGATGCTTAAGAGTAGCAAGACTCTTTGTATGCATTGGAGACTGGGGAATGACACCATTAGCCGGGGGTATCCCAAGGAGGCCGCACAATAAGGTCTAAAGAATATAAAAAAGAGTCAAACAAAACGATGGAAGGTGATAACCTTGGGAGCATTAAGGAGTGAGAGTGCGAGACAGAGTGGGGGAGAGAGAGAGAGAGAGAGATACCAGAAAGCCTAAAAGAAGTAAATCATAATGAAAAGATGGTGGTTTTCTCAGATTGAACTCCTTCTGTTGAGCAAGTTGAGATGCTACGCTGTGGTCAAAGTAATACAGGACAGCAATCATGGTAGCCGGGATGGAAGCACCAAGGATGAAGAGAACGGGCACTTGGAGCATCTCCTGTTTTATAAACAAAAACCCAGTTTAGAAGTTTCAGCTAAGTATTGTTCAAGATAAAATATTAGAAGCAGATCAGAAATCAGATTCAAGCTTCAAAGTGAGATATTAGAAGCAAATCAGAGTCAGAGAAGATCTAGAGGGAAGATTTAAAGAAAATATGCCTTGATGACCGTCCAGTTTTCATATGCACCAGGTGACCATGGATTCGGGCTGAAGAGCCGTCGTGGGATGCCATTAGGAATGTTACCAGCTGGTATATAAGAAACACCTGTCCAGATGAGGACCATCAGTGGCACCCCATAATCTGCAATCAACCCACGTAACCAACCTGCAAAATAATTTCCAGAATAAGCATGAGATGCCCGTAATAATTAGATGGGTGCTAAATATATTTAGCAAATTGGTTATCACGACTTAGGAATGAAGCTCTCCCACGTATCTCTCTGTCACTAAAGGGGATCTGAGAAAGATTTTTCCAACGACAAACTCAGTAAATACCTTAATTTGGAAAGCATACCATCTCTTGATGGTCAGATTTACCTGTTCCATATCGCCATGACCTAGCTTTCCTACTTTTCAGAGCAGTGAGAAGAAGGCCAAAGGACAGGACAATTGCGAACATCCCATTGGCGAACCTCCAAGATGGAACGAACTGCGGTAACCCAGGGTTTTCTCTTTCGGGTATGTGGAATTCGTCAACAAGGCCCTAAACCAATCCAAAACACACAAAAAAATTATTACTTAGGGCACTGTCAAATTTATAAACATTGTAATACAATAGACCACACAACTTCAGTGATACCATCAGCTTCTATAAAAAGGATGATAATCCCCAATAATACTTTGTTATCAGCAAAATCCTGGGAAAATTCTGAATACTTTGTTATCTACAACTGTAACATGACCTCCATTTGATTTTCCTTTTATTCAACTTTTCAGCGATAGTTAAACAATCATTTGATTTTGATCCAGTAGGCACAGACGATGAATATTTTCTCCTGATATTTTTCACTTTGTTAAACTCACTTGAAAATAGGTGAGCAAATTTTGGGAGCCTTGATTTACGTTGGCCTCTTTTACATTCTTTATCTGTTTTCTTTCATTTCCTCTTAGAAATATTTGCTGAGCTTCCAGTACATTCATTCATCAGAAGGCTATAAATTGACATGAGTCGGTCATATAAAACTGAAATGAAAGAGAGACCAGACTTGATTTGCTCCCCAGCAATTCAGAGCTCATGGGGAATGGAAGCACTCACTTTAATGGCTTGCTGCATGAACAGCATCGCAATCAGCAAGCCGAAGAGCTCACCAGCTATTCTAGTGAATCGGTTAATAATGGAGCAGGCCCCCAAGATGGCCAGCAAGAACAGCAAGAATGATGTCCACACACATACCCTGAAAAGGAAATCAAGTTGATGGAAGTTCAGTGGTTGAAAATTGATCTGGATTCCAAAATACCGAGTGGGGATCCGAAGATCCAGACTTTACCATCCAGACCACGCCAAAAACAGCTTTGGACCCAGATCAGCTCTATCCTTGGCAAAATTAAACAGGAAGGTGTACATGAGAACTGTGGGCTCTGCTACGCCAAGAATTAGCAAAGGCTGGCCACCAACCAGCGAGTGTATGATCCCACAGAGGGCGGTGGATGCTAAAGTTTGAACAGCAGTCAAGATCCCATCTGCCCGAATCAGTAGATTTCCCAAGGATCAATTCAGAAACGCATCTCAGTTTCTACAGAACCATCAACGTAGCGTTGAAATATGCCAAAGAGAACAACAGCAAGGTTTGTTACCTGTGTTTCTCTCCAACTGTTCTCCAAAAGAAATGACGGGTATCGCAGAGGCAAAGAATATGTACGTTGTGGGAGCCAGAATCCTAAAAATTCGAAAGGAATCGGCATCTTATGATTAAACCATTTTAAAATACGGGCAATACAAGTTATATCCAAATGCATCGCTCGATAGGGAGATTCAGAACCCCACCTGATGCCTGCCTTGAAGCCACCAGTCCAGTCCTGCTTGTAGCATTTCAATCTAGCTTCGAAGTCCTTCTTAATCCCGCGGAAAGGGACGAAGGTCTCTTCCATGGCGTCGGGAACTTGATGAACCTCTCAAGGAAACCTTTCTAAGGGGACCCTGTTGAAACATACGAAACATGGTTTTAATCGACAGTTAGATTCCCTGTAACTCTGGGTCTCATACCATCAGAAGGAAGGAGCCCATTGAGTCTGCACAAAAAAAATTTAGGACCGACAGCAGGAAGAAGAAAAGAAAAATGGACCAGGGGAAAATGCTGGGGGTCTATGGCCTTGTAAAGCTCAATGAGCCAACAGAAGAACGCCGCCGAGAAGCTAGAGGTCTCAGGACACTGTAATCTCCACAGAGTTATGAAATGTCTTCCCAGAGAGGAAACCCAGCTTCAGAAAACACTCAAAGAGACGGGATTCCCACCGATCGGCCCCAGTGGAAGCCAACGCCGAGTTTCTCAAGCTGGCACAAAAAGGGTCGGTCGGATATATAACCCCTGGAAAAGTCTGAAAATGGAGGCGGGCCAGCAATGTGGCCAACTAAGCGGCTGTGTCGCGACCGCCGTCGTTGCTGCAGAGTAAGGCGCACCGCGGAACCAGGGGTAACTCTCACAAAAGACTAAAACTGGGAAACCGGACACAAATCGAGGTCGTCGAGGCCATCAGGCAGGGGAAAAGATAGTGTGGACGTGGCTGGGGCCGGCTTCCTCCCCCTGCCAGTGCCAGGCCACAACGAGCTGGGGAAGGAAGTAGCCGAGTACCTTCAGCACAATATTATTATTATATTTGATTCCTCCTCTTCGCATCCCGCGGGTGGCCAGGAGCCCGCTCCACGTAAAAACGAAAGACACAAGTAATTTATAATACGCAGGAGAGAGTTCAGACTTTGCCGATGACTGCATTCAATATCCATAGGAATCAAAGTGAGATCTTTTAAGGCCTCTGTCAAACCTTTATCGGAAATTAAGGAATCAGATAAAAAAGGATCCGAAGACTGCCAAAGAGATATTATTGGCTTGTCAAAATACTGGTTTTAAACCGGCCCTCTTCAAGGCGTGCCTAACTAGGAAACAAGTAGCCAAACAGAAAAGTATCAATCTTTGAACCTTTTTATGCGGATATGGCGTTTCCCAATGGGCTATTTGTAACCCATCACGGGCACGTAAACAACAGCAAGAAAAACCCTCCTTTCTTAAAGCGCTAACTAGCTCGTCTCCTCGTTGCCAGTTCTTCGAGCTGGCTTCCCCTCTCCCTTTCTCTCTCCCGCTCTCCATCTCAACTAGACATCTGAATGGCTTGGTACCTACCAGCCTGCCCACTTGGGCTTTGTCTGTGTCACGAAATGGGCATTTGGGTAAATTAAATGAAAAGGACGTCAACATAACGGAACCTAGGCCTGGCCGAGTTTACCAGGAAGGATTATGATCTTAGGCCTGCCACCTTGGAGATTCAGTGTTCCGCCTGGGGAAGGGTTAAACTTTAAACGAATTTTTCATAAATACCCTTATTAAAATTCATCACATTTATCCTTGTAAGAACTTTGTTTGCTTGTACACCTTATTAACTCGAATATAGTTGAGCAGCAGCTAGGAAGGACACCTCAGAAGAGGGTATTTTCCGCGTGCGACAGTCGTGGAGTAGTTTAGAAAGAATGAGGGCACAGATGCAATCCCATTTCATGGAATGGAAAGAAAGCAAATTTTGACTATGGCTATGGGGCGCATTGCAAGATGCCAAGTCAACGGATTGAAGAAAAGCCCTCTTCTCGTTTCTGGGTTAAGTTTTCAAGCCATTTTTGAGCGACCCAACGCAGTATGGACTCAATGGTAGGTAGTTTCTGATTGAGAAGACCCAGAAAGGATAAAAAGGCAAGAACTTTCTTCTCCTCATGAACACGATTCCTTACTGGTGTGGCATCATAACGCGTAGAACTTCCCACCACCCACTCCTCCATGTTACTCCTAAGAAAGGATAGAAGCAAATACAGCAAGCCCCTGATCATGCCACAGGGCTCGGAGGGGTATCCTGCTATGAGGAAGCCCTGCACAAGTTTCTCTCTCTAGCACTCTCATCCTGAGGGGATATTATCATTAAAGACTGTTTGTCGTGTTGAACCCACCTCATAACCTCATAGCGCTATCGAGACTAGCTTCACCTGATCATGCCACAGGCCCCAGATGGTCTCCCGCTATGATCATAACCTCATAGCTCTATCGAGACAAGCTTCATAAGCTAATGTAGAGGCATCAGCCCTCTGGTAATCAAGAAAACATGCGAATATCATATTCCTCGTTTCACAGGAAGATGGCTGAAAAGGAAAGAAGAGATCCCATTGGTCGAAGCCATTTCTACATGTATAGGGAGAATGGATGACTCATGCATGAGAGAGAATGAACGATACGAGCTGGAACAGCAGCGGCCGCACCTGGCCGATCTAGAAACCCCACCCGTCCTTTTGGAAAATCCCAGATTACATGTGGGGGAGAACGAGGTGAAGGGTGGATCTTAATGGTGTTTGAAGGAAAACCATAACTCCGGATTAGATTTTAACTATTGATTTTTTTTATCATTTTCTTCCTTTTTTAATTTGCTCCCATGTAACTTCTATTATTAGTTATCCTCCGGAATAACCAATTCCTGTCTATTTAGAAGCCCATAGCATTCCATTGCCCTAAAAATAATAGAATTTTCTTTATCTCTAAAGATTTATCTCTACTTAAAGATCCAAGCGATCCCTTGTGGATTTAAGATTTTATGGTGGCACGCCGAAGAGCAGGCAAAAAATCGATTTATATATGGTTTTAAAATGAAGAAATTGCTAAAATCCTGAAATCTATTTTTTTATAAAATTTTAAAATAGAAGGCTTTCATGGGCAGAGGAATACAACGACCTCTTTGAAGGCCCATTAAAGATATAAAATACTCGAGCTCAACAAAAAGATTTACAGATGAATATTTGTGTTACTGCTCAGACTCGATAACCTTACTCCTTGCTAGGATCAGCTGTTCTATAGTAAAATATTGCTCACCTCTATTGCCAAATCAGTTGATCATACACCTCTGAAACCAAGAAGAGAATATTGAAGAGAAGAGAATTCCCTTGTATCCCTTACCCTCTGCTTCGAAGAGAAAACAAATCCTAGGGTAGGGAGTGACTGAGGCCACCGCCATCTCTGCGAAGAAGAAGAATTCCCCTCTTCTTGCTGTGTAGCTCATTCACCTCAACTCTGCTGCAGGCGGGCCAAAACAAAGCGAAGGGGGGGGGAGGGCACACACAAACAGCCATTGAGCTATGTTTCCGGCCGGGTTTCCAAGTAATCAGGTCTCGATGTCACAGGAGCAGGTGGCACTTTATCTGACTCATCAGCGGGGAATGAAGCAGCACTGGCCCCAGGAGACATGGGGGACATTTCTTGGGTTACCAGCTCAGGATTGGCAGGTGACTCCTGTCCTTGTTCCAGAGAAGCCTCCTCATGGCAAGAGGAAGCGGTGCAGGCAGCCTCTTGATTAGAATGTGGGGGAGCAACATCAAACCCAGTTTGCCGCAGCGGCAGCCCAGGTCCAGGCTGCATAGCCGCATCAAGGCCTACCTGGGGGAGCACATCGAACCCAGATGGACGCCGCGGGGCACCTCCTCCGGTAGTAGCCTGGTTGTGACTCCGTGCCACCGGCAACCCATCATAACTGCGGCTGCGGCTGCGGCTCCTGCTCCTGCTCCTGCTCGGGCTCCTGCTCCGGCTGTCACTTCGGCTTCTAGACCAGCTCCTGCTTCTGCTTGGGCTCCTGCTCCGGCTTTGGCTTCTGTTCCTGCTCCAGCCGGGTCCCCGGTTCCAACCTCTTCCAGGGCTCCGACTATAACTCCGGTCTCTATTCGTTTCCCCAACTCCATTCCTGTTGTCGATGCGGCCTCGTCTCTCCATATTGCCAAAGCGGTCAAACCGGCCCCGACCATACCCCTGCCCCCGGCCCCCGCGACCACTGAAGAAGTCAGCTCTGCCCCCACGCCCACTGTAGCCCCCGCCGCCACTGTCTGCCATGTCCCGGCCACGTCCAGAGGCCCACCGTCCACCGCCAGGCTCCCAGCGACTAGGTCCGCCACGTCCCTTAGAGAAGGCCGAGACACCACGAATCGCCATTTCCCGTATCTCAGGCGGCACCTGTTGGTTCGCACCTTCCAAGACTTTGACCAAATCAGCCGCATATTTCCAGTCCTGATCGCAGAAGAAAGTGTACGAGATCCCAGTGGCCCCCGCTCGCCCTGTTCGTCCGATCCGATGCACGTAGTCTTCAACTCCCATGGGAAAATCATAATTGATGACCACCCTGAAACAAACCATGCTTTATCAGCAGGCTGAAGAAGGATGGAAAACATGCTCCAAAGAAACGAGGAAGGCTACCCCCAGGAGAAACCCATCATACAGCAACAACCTGACTTCCAGTAGGGAAACTAGGGAGGAAGGAAAATCTGAAAAGGGATCTAAGTGAATGAATTGAAAGCATCAGGAGCTCGTTGAAGAAAAATGATGAAGCAAGAACCCACCTGATGTCTTTGATGTCAAGGCCCCTTGCAGCAACGTCAGTAGCAACTAAGACAGGTGATTTGCCACTCCGGAATTGATTCAAAACCCAGTCGCGTTCCCCCTGTGACTTGTCGCCGTGCAGCGAGGCCGCACCAAAATGGCGCCCGATGCTGCGAACAAGCAGATCGCACTGCTTCTTTGTTGAGCAGAAGATGATGATTTTAGATCCTCGTTCTTGGGATCTAAGAATTTGCTCTAAGCGTCTCTGCTTCTCCATGGGTGAGACAACTTCAACATGCTGGAAAGAAAATAAACAGCATGCCAAGGATTGTCAAACTTCGAATGTATTTATGGACAATTAATTTCAGAGATTTCATTCAAAGAAAAAATCTGAGAGCAGAAGAGAACATTCACTGTAACTAAGGAGTCTCTTAGAGACTAAACACGATATCATGTTCATTCTAGCACTATCCCAAGGCCTAAGCAACCATTTCAATCAAGATTCTCATAAAGATGTCCAAGATAAATAGAGAAGCAATAAGGGAGGCAGACAATTAGAACTATTACTCAGTTTTCGAATCATGACACAGCACAGTCCTCTCCCTAATACCATGATCATCCCAGCGTTGAAGGCGAAAATATCCATGTCTGTGTAGTTCAGTCCAGGTCGCATCTATACTGTTTCTAGTTATTGAACTATAAAGTCTTTTGATAAAGCGGATCTTCTCCATCAAGGCTTCATAATGAGATCATCTGTTCGGAATGCAGTCTAGCAGAAATTCTCTATTTACACGTATGTAAATATATATAAAATATATAAACGAATTGAGATCTTCGTGTGCAACGCACCCTCATGACAAACTTTAAGTGGATAAGATATCAGAGAGTCTCCGCCATATCCTAGTAAAACGTGTAAATTCTGAGACAAATATTTTTCGAAAAATAGCACACGATGTAAAGAGGTGCGATTTCTGAGAAACGAAGGGCCAATGCGCTCATGGAAAGAAACTACTTCGAGTGACATTGGAAAATGTTTATGATGCACAATGAACTTCACTGAGGTATCATATACGATTATTTTTCCCTTATCTGCATTGAATGAGAGCAACAAGATGTCCCAGGATACAAAAGAATTGAGAACGGCACAGTTTGATGAGTTGGAGATATACTTCATGCAAAAGAAACAGTGGAGACGATACAAATGAAGCACACACATCACAGAGCTATTTTTCCTTTTGTAACGCAATGGACACATGACACGAGTAGAAAGTCAAAATGTTCAAGTGAAGACACCCCCCCCCCAATCCACTGAGAAGATAATGTGATGATGATTTACAAGTCTTTAAAAAAAAACGATGGTTAGCCATTCTAAGGCTACTTTCATATGACCCTCCACCAAGAGATCTAAGAGTCATTGAAGATGAATGAACTTCTAAATATGCAATAAAAATAATGGAAAAGAATGAAATGAAAACCACATTCACTAGCATCATGTAAAATCATTATATTGACATCTCAGATTTCAATTACGTCTCTCGTTTACTCTTAAACATAAAGAAAAAGAACATAACTCTTCAATCTACAGTTTCATCAGAGGGAAATGTAATCACCAGAAGGTATACCTGTGTAATGGATTTGTTTGCAGCAAGCTCATCAACATTACCAATGTTGACCTGAACAGGATTAACAAGCAAATCTCCAGCAATATTTCTCACTTCCTTTGGCCATGTAGCTGTGTACATAAGTGTTTGCCTCCGTGGAGGTATCTCATTCACAATTCTCCGGATTTGAGGCTCAAAACCCATATCAAGCATACGGTCTGCTTCATCAAGCACAAGAAATGAGACTTGACAAAAGTTGATTTTCCCCATGTCAAGAATATCATTTAATCGACCAGGTGTAGCAACAATAATATCTGCTCCTCTCTCTATCTCCCTTAGTTGAGGACCCTTCGGAGCTCCACCAAATAGACACTGGACAAACCACCAACAATTTAGTGTAATACCACGAGTAGAATTAGTATTTCTAAAAGACAAAGTCACAGAAATTATGCGGACCAACAAATTAGAATATTTATGCGAATACAAATTTTCCAGTGAATACCCTTCATACATCAAAACTTGACCAGGGCAAAGACGGCCTCCAGTTTCCTTCGAGACTAGCTCCCACCCCACCACTCATCCATCATATGGTCCCATATGAACCTGACCTATTTCCCACTTGACTCTGGCAACAATGCATACCCAAAACTAAAAGACATTCTGAAGCTTCTGTTAAGTAGGATACCCATTTAATTCGAATTTTGACAGTTATAGCCTAAATCAAAAACTTGAGAAAAGAGACTAAAAAACAGAGTGAGATAGAGAAAGCCCTCCACGACGAAAAGTTCCACAAATTATTTTGTAACGCATAAGAAGAACATTGGCATGAACAATAGTTCTCCATGTATGATGATGCATAACGTACTGTGCAAGCAACTCTTGAAGAGCGACCAAACTTTACTGCTTCATTCTGTATTTGTGTTGCAAGTTCCCGTGTGGGTGCCAATACGACAACAGTTGGGCCAATTTGTGGGTTATTTTGGCATCGCTGCAGATGAATGAAAGCAGGAATGAGATATCCAAGGGTCTTCCCGGAGCCAGTTTTAGCTATAGCCACTATATCTCTTCCTTGAAGTGCCACTGGCCACGTTTGTGCTTGTATTGGTGTAGGAGATGAGAATCCAGCAAAATGCATCTGCGACAAAAACAAAATAATTCAGAACAAGATATTTTGGAGGGAAATATCTATAAGAGACTATTGACAAGAATCATGCTACCACATTGGTAATCAAGAAGGAAACCCCACGAATAGACAAGTATTTACTCAAGCAACATGAAGCAGTAATTGGTGACATTTTCAAACCAAGTGGCAGGACAAGAAGCAGGAAACCCCAGCCACATTGGGTGATCAGGACCATCGCAAAAAGTCCACAAGGCCCCAACAATGTGCTTGCAGCCCCCAAGGACAAAGCAGTTGCTGAGTACTGAGTGTATATGGCAGAACAGAGTACAACATATGCTCCTCTGGAGCAGATATCACATCTGTGACACATGACAATAGTCATGAGTTTACACATTTTAAATAAAAATTCCCAAACTAGACGTGCATAGCCTTCTTAAAATTTTCAGGTGTAAGCTTTATTAACAGACATCAAAATCAAAGTATCAAATTGATATGAATTTACCTCTCTGAGAATCTCGGGAGGAAAACCAGTCATCTCAAAGGACATAAATGGAGCCGGCACATTGTCCCCCTAAACGATTTGTACAGCCATAAAAAAGGAATAGGTAAGGATAAATTAACAACAAAAGACAGTAGTATAAAGTGATGAAAGAATAAGCCTTGTCAGGTAAAAGCAAATAAATCAACAATAGGAGTTTTGAATGAAAGCTATACGTGAATATTTACACAGAACCAGAAGAAATGCATTATATATCTAGAATAAACAGAAACAGACAAAAAGAAGAGCAATAACCATACAGAATATGACACGACCCCACGAGGATTATAGGTTGAGAAGATAGGAATCGTTTTCAACATACAGACTAATTAGCATCACCTAAAAAATTATCAAAGAAAATCGAAGCATTTAACGTGAACAGAGGTGACACTTATTTGTTTCAATCATATTTTGATACTGGAATGTACAATGACATTTACTTGATCTAAACTTCAATGATTGATTCCTACACAAAAAAGATTGCACAATGAAAACAGCTAAAAAAAATGCTATTGTAAACATCAGTAAATACTCTTCTTCCTCATCATAAAAACTGTAGCACACTGTTAACAGAAAACCCTTCAAATATCCTATTACTCCCATTGAGTACTTCTACTGCGTTAAGAGAAAGTTGATCAGAAGCAGATTGTCTGCCACCGAAATCTTCTACATACATTTCAGTGAGCATAACTTCGATCTGCGGAATTTCCTCTTTCATCACATTGCCTCTCAACATTTGTTAGCAATCTCCTCCCTTGCTCTAGACCTAAATCTCTTCGCGATTGTAGTGCTGGTGCTGGAAACTGCTCCTTTTGGGATGATCTTCAAACAATATGTCCTTGAAAACGTAGTTCTCTGACCTTTCCAAAGCCAGCGCATGTCATCACTATCTCTCTTCCTTGAAAAAATCCAGCCACATGGAATTTTTCCATATTTGAAGTGGAAGTTCAATGTTTAATCTAGCTAGACAACTTCTATTCTTCTGCAACTAAGTTTGACGGGTGCTCTTTCACCTCTTACATTGTTAATATAGCCACTTGATAAGCAATTTAAAGTTTAGGTCGTCAATGTTGATGATATGATGGCCCCAGTTCCCTATTTATTTGCACATTCTCCCACAGTTGATGTCATATCATAACTTATAATATTATAACGAAAAACCAAATTAGTATAAATGCAACCCCATTATCCAACAAAGAATATATTTTGGCTAGGGTGAAAATTAAATAAAAATAATACTTCCCGAAGCTCAGGATGAAAAATCAGAATTTTTTCCAAATATAATATTTATTGGAGATAATTTGAGTCTAAACGCACAAATTTCATAAAATCGGCCAATATTACATATTTTTCCGGGGGAATGGTCCTGTCAGGAATGATATCCCATGCAACTCATGATTTTAAGTTATCATTTCCAGAAAGGTTCGTTTTTTAATGGCCTCATGATGAACCCAAATTACTTTCTCTAAGAAAACCTTCTCCCTAGACAGCTCATAAGATAAGCAATATTTATCTTTCAAGCACCATGATAGTTTGCAAGCTCGTCAAAGATCATGGCAGTCAAAAGAATCAATAGCTTATAGTGTTATCCAGCAGAGAATATAATTAAATGTTGCATTGGGCAAAGTTCAATATTTTTTTCATTACGATGAGCCATTAAAGACGTTCCTAATTTAAAATCAAGATTTATAGCTCCCACAGAAGTTGCATATTTCCCAGTTGCAGTAATTGCTTTACGAGGATTTACTGTATCATGCAAAAGAACAGCACCCCAACTAAAAGGGAACATGCTGATTCACAAATTTATAGCCTAGAAAATTTGTTCATATTTTACTTAAAGAGTTGGAGGAAGAAGAGGGGTACATAAAGGAGGAAAATCATCGATGATATGAATGTCCTTCGAATGATATAGCAGTCTTACCATGGCTGTAACCTCGTGCTGTCTTCGGTATAAATCAGCCGCCGAGAGATTTGACAACTCTGAATTGGGAACTCTGAGAGATGTTCTTATAGGATCACCAACAGGTGCTGTTGGATCAGGAAAAGCATGACTGTACATGTTTAAAGCTCCAAAGCCGGGTGCCATGTTTAGTTCACCAGCATGATCATGGTCAATTCCACCCCTGTGCGGTGGCAGAGCACCCGTTCTCAAATCCTGATTCACAATATTACTGATGTCATAAAAAATAAAATCCAGAAACGACCATGGAATAAAGTAATCTCGTGTGTAATAAACATTTTAAAATGCATCAGAAAGCATAACAAATAACTTCTGTAAAAATCATACAAAAAACTCTTATAGTGGCATTGTCTAAATACAAAATGAATCATTTTAAATGTTAGACACCACACCACCTTAGACATTCCTAGAAATGCAGGATCCACCCGTTTCATCATCGAGGATCTAGTCAGTAACATGATCAGTGATATCATTTCTGATGGTCCCTTCTAAGAGAAGGCTGCTCCTAAAGTAACAGGTTTAAGAATTTATTTTTATGCTTCCAGATATTAAAATCCAAAGAGTTTGTATGTCTTTTATTCAGGCATAATGATCTCTGAGCTTTTAAGAACATGATTGGAAAATAATTCTACTTCCCTCTTTAGGACTACATCAAGAAAACAATTCAACAAAGATTTTCAATTAACAATCCTTTATCAATTATTTTTCTGGGAAAATTAGCGCATATATGTCCAAAACGTATGAATTTCAATTCGTAAAAACAATCTCTGGTTTACAGACTAAAACCTATGACAGACTTTGTACTTCAAACCTGCTGATGATGTCCCGGGGGAAAAGCAGCACCAAGTTTCGGTTGGTGTGAGTGCACCATCACTGCATCCCTGATATTGGCATCATAGAATTCATTACTCATTCTTCTATTCCGAGATTTTTCGTAATTCATCTTCAAAGTCGTAGACAGTCCTATCGGAGATTGACTATGGACTCCCCCAGGACCTGCACGTTCTGAAATCAATGATCCAGAGCCCATTTGAGGTTTTCTTTGACCGTCAAATCCTGATTGTGATTGAAGTGAGGATGCTGGATCTTGGTGTCCATCAACAGATGACAGCCCACCAGTCTGATGACGTGAAAGTGAAGGATTGATTCCCATCTGCGGAAACTGAACCATTGAACCTGCAGAAGAGATGGTAGAACTCGAGGAAACAACCCCCGTTGGTTGAAACTGCAACGAAGAAAAGCCAACTGGCTTTGCTTGCTGAAGGCTAACTTCCGCTCCACTGAATCCTACTAGATGTTGGGCTTGTTGGTGCCCCATCTGCGATGACAATTGTTGATGTCCCATGTAGCTTGATACATGCTGTGTTTGAGGGTAGGAACTTGGCAGCTTAGACACCTGCTGAGGTTGAACGTTTGGATATTTCTGCTGGTGCTGATGTGGCATAAGCATCTCCTGACTACTCTGTACTTGTAGGAGCTGCCGGCCCTGTTGCTGCATTATCGGATGACCTGATTGCTGATATGATAATTGCTGGTTTGCCAGTGAAGTGGAAACAAGCTGTCCTTGTTGCTGGGACACTTGGTAGACGCTTTGTTGAACCATCTGCTGACCAGTTTGCGACAGAGTGCCATTAGCCAGCTGGACACGAGCCATGGGCAAGGGGGCCAGCTTCGGCATAGGTAGGGGGGTGGAGGGTCCAGGCGGTAAAGGAGGTGGCGCAGAGGCAGGACGTTCGTACTGGGTAACATTAGTTTCAGGGTTCCAGTAGTACAGAAGGCCAGTAGTCCCATCAACGACAGCCTTCCACGGCTTTTCAAGGGATGGGTCATCAGGCGCAAAGCGCGGACCAGATGAAATTGCAGAAGTCTCCGCTGCCATCACAGAGATTCACAAAAGAGACAACTTGCACCTCCAATAACCTAGGCAATCATTTTCAATGTGTAAGTCGAAACCTCAGAAAAAGTTGAGACGAGAGCTTACGACCAATATTACCGAAATCCACAGAGAAACCATTGATTATGAGACCACAGGTTCTAAAAGCAACGAACCTCAGAGTATTTTTTCTCCACAATACAAAGGTTTTCACCATGCACTACAGGAAGTTTGAGAGCAGAGAACAGATTTGAAGCCGAAATGGGTGCTCCATAAATGATGCATTGGACAAGCGAAAAAGGATAAGCATAACCCTGAACGACCGGACCAGTTCTCAACCAACCGTACGACTCAAATGCGATCAATGTGTAGATGCCACACTTTCCCCGAAGAAAGAAAGTCAGGCAGTCTGCAATCCCCATAGAAATACCCACCAATTAAATACCAACAGAACCATCTGGCGACATGGATGAACAAGGAGTACAGGGAGAATTGAAAACAAGGTTGATTGGACACAGATGCGAAAAGAGGTACCTACCTCAGCTTCGGCAAACCGAGAGAGAGAACGACCAGCTGAAGCGCAGATGGAAGCGTAGCGAGATGGGGAGAACGGCGACTACCCGCCTCCTTCCTGTCTCTTTCCCAGCCCTACGGCCCTCAGAGTCGGAGCGCCAGCATGACTCGCCGAACAAATACACAAAACAGAGAGTAGAGAAGGCTTAAAACCCTAACACTGCCGGTTTCTCTCTCTCCTCCTCCCTCTTTATATTCAATTTCTCCTTTTCCAAACACCTACCATAAATCCGACAAATCATTCCTATCAAAACAGCCAAAAAAAAAAAGCCTCTCCATAAATTCGATCTAATTTTTTGAATAAGGTAAATTAAAATATTTCTCTTCAAAGAGAAATAGGCTATTCTCCTTTCCCTAAGATAACCTAAACTATGTCCAAATCCAACTTTTGGAGAACAAAATGATCACATCTTAAACATTTCCCTATTCTTCCTTGTCTTATGATTGTTGTGTATTGATGCCCCTTCTGACTGTGAATTTTTTTACTCTTTCTTAACATCTTTTTAGGTGGTACAAAGGAGGAAAATTCACATAAATAGTAATGGATGTCATAGAAATGATCACAAAAGTGCTCATTACATTGGCTATGGTGATGTTGTTTATTGATCCAAAGAGTGCTATGGCGATCTCTGGCTGAGAAAGGTTGAATTAATATTTTAACAACTAAACTAAGCTAAACTATGTCAAAATCTAACTTTTGGAGAGCAAAATGATCATGTTTGAAAGATTACCCCACATATAGTCTCACCTTTTACCATTATTCCTTGTCTTACATGGCTTTGTGTATTGATGCCCTTTTTGACTGTGAAATTATTTAGTATTTTTTAACAACTTTTTCGGTGGTAGAATGAAGGACATTTCATGTATATAGTTATGGATGTTGTAGAAATGGTCACAAAAGTATTCATTACATTGGCTATGGTGATCTATGAGAAGGGTTGAATTAATATTTTTATACTTGTGATGAAAGGGACCTAAGTTAAAACAACAAGTCCAGGTCATAGTGAGTAGAACTCTTATTGATAAGCCAAGGTAAGTAAATTAGTTCAAAAACCAATTGACTTTTTTTCTAAATTCATGACTTTGAAGGAGTCAACTAGATTAATACTCAACTAATCTCCTTGAAATCCATTACTTGAAGTGCAAAGTATTGACTTTTCAATATTCGTTCATCATTTTACCTCAATGGCTATAAAAAAATTACTACTTACTCTAAGCACTAATAATGAGTGACAATTTTTTACCCCTAAAATTGTTTGTTTACATAAAAGTAAGAACAATATTATACAACTTATGATCTTAAGTACATATTTTCTTAGAGCAAGAAACATGGACCTTAACTGCTAGAGTCTCCACATCATCAAAGCATCACCCTTCTCCTAGGACATTCATGTGTATATATTAATTTGGTGCTTTCTTCTTCTTAAAAGCTGTAAGAGAGGAATTGTTGAGAAGGTTTAAAATTTTCTTTTATTGGCTGTGATGGCTAATTGTAAGTGTAGGCATTGTAGTTCAAGTCATAGATGCCATGGTGAGGGTCTGAATATTGTATACTACACAAGTCCAAATTCTATAGCCCTTTTTGACTTTTCTTTTTATCACTCTAAAATGAGTAAACTCTTTTACAAAAAAAAAAAAACATTAAAAAGTATGCAAGCATTCTCAAAATTATATTATAAGACGTCTCTTAAGCTTATAAATCAGAATTGTAGTCCTTTTGAGTATATGTGGTAGGGTTTTTGTAATAGCATGAAATGACCTTTTTACCCTTATATACCTCTTTGTCACATCAAATCTCCACTCTAAAAGCCAACAAGAAATGAAGAAAGAACACTATCTTAAGAAATGAGGAAGTGATCTAGCCAAAGGTCATCTATGAAGAAGAAATTGTCTTTGCATCTAGAATAAATAAAATTTCAATGAAGAACCTACATCCCAAATCCACAATATTAAAACCTTAAAACCTTGAATCTATGAAGGCTAGTTGAGAACAACCTTGAATCCACTAGATCAAAATGATTCACTTGAATTCACAAGGGAGTCATCTAAATCCAAAAGTAGATAGATAAAATTCCAAAATAAGAATTTTTTTGTGATAATTGGTTAATGCATCTAGGACTACAATAGGGGCCTTCAAATAGGCCAAGTGTCTCTTGTAGCACCCATGAAAAACTGATTCAATTTTTACAGCATTTTAAAGTAGATTTAAAGCATATTTAAATAAATCTAAAATAAGGTAAAAGCAAGAAAATAACTTAAAATTGAGAATGGAACTGTTCAACCAATTTTATTATGAGTCATATCATGTGCCTATGTTATCTCGTGCATGTAGTTCATTCTTCACCCTTCCAAACTTTTAGTCCACTAGAGTGAGATTGTGGATGTGGAAAATAAGCAAGGCCTATATCTTTTAGCCTAGATGACCTGAAAATGTGAAAACAAAGATCATGAAGGCCCAAAACGCATTTCATGCCCAAATCCAACTTAGCAAGCCCAGATCATGGAAATAAGGTATTAATTTCATAGGACCAATTAAAGTTTTCCCTTCGTAAATTTTTATTTTTATATTCATTGATTTTATTTTTTAAGGAGAAGAACTAATTTCAGCCTATTTCAAGACTAATATTATTCCTTTTAAGCTTGTCCATAAAAAGTAACGAGATCTTGAACCGAGATTCGAGAGTCCTACCCACATTAAAAGATATTTTTGTGTAGTGAACAGCACATTTTTCCAGTCTCTGTCGTTATCTTCATCCTCGCGCCCTGATGAATTGGCCTAGAAGCTTTAATACCGACCCTTTTCTTTCCTAAGAACGTAACGGCTACCATAGTCTCTGGCGGTCCTCGGCGGTTGCTCAGTGGAAGCTAATTTTCTAGAGCGGAAGTTGTCGTTCCGGGCTCCAAAGGATCCCCTCCCGCCATAGTTCGTAACTTAATAACGACAAAGAAAACCCAGCTTCCTTCTCGGGGGAGAGAGAGAGAGAGAGAGAGAGGAAGCAAGCCGGGGAGGGTGCCCTCTGCCCAGTTTAATCGGCAAAGAAAACTCGGAAGATTCATGGCGGAGACCCTCAAACCCTGTTGAAAAGAGGTGTTTCTGGTGCAGAGCTAGGAAATCCCTTGAGAGAGAGGCCAGCATGGAACACTCATCGGTGGCCTGGGGAAAACAGAGTGGTGCAAGGAATCCCCAACCTCCTCTCCTGTCTCTCTCCTTCCTTCTCTGTCATACCCAGGAGTGACCGGAGAGCGGTTACGAAACCTTTTCCAGGGGAGCACGCCGTCGAAAAGGAAGAGCCATCCTCGCGCAAGACACCCCTACGTGTACCCAAGAATACGAGGAATAAAGTGTCACAGATTAGAGGTTTTGAGAGAGAATATAGGACAGAGATAGATAGGATTGGGACGATATGGTTAGAGAGAGAGAGAGAGAGAGAGAGAGGTTGACGGAAGATGCCCTGATGGAAGACAGATACGTCTAGATAGATGCACATATAAAGAGTGTGTGAAAAGAGATTGTGAGAAGACCTATACCTTAAAGGAGAGAGGGAGGGAGAGAGGATTGTTCGTGAAGAGAGATTGACAGAGACAATGACTGAGAAGAACTTCAGACAGATATAGTTAGGGGAGAGAGGCACTATGAGAGTGCGCGTGAAGAGCAAGGGGAGAGATCATCTGCACTGAAGATAGGTACATCTGGGTAGATAGAACCTAGAGAGAGCAGAGAGAAAATGACGAGAAAAGTGTGTGTGTGTGTGTTTCAGAGAGAAGATAGGGAAGGAGAGATGATATATCTGTAGAGAGAGAGAGAGGTAAACTTGTAGAGGAGAATCCAGAAGAGTTTTGTAGGGAGAGGTGGTGGTGGCGGCCCCCTGGTGGCACGGGAGCAGCTGTTCTCTTACGCTTTCTGTTATTGCAAGCTGGTGCAAGTAGCCCCCCACAGAACGTCATGGGTCTTGTTTCTTCCGTTGCCTTCCCTCTCCCATCTACCCCTTTCTGCGTGTCTCACCATTTCAAGTCGCTGGTCATCTTCATGCCACGCGAAGGGCCCAACCCCCCCTTACCCCCCCATGTTCATCCCTCCGCCGTTTTAGGTGGCTGCCCACGCCCATTTTTGGAAACATCGAGGAGAGAATGGAGAAAGAAGAGGAAAAGTGGCAACACCTGTATCTTCTCATCTCTTGTCCCTGCTCAGCCTTTCTTGTCTCTATACTCGGTCCTGGCCTTTTAATACAGGCCAAGAAGACAGAGCACCAAACCAGAGGACAAGGAGAGGGAGGAAGGGAGAAAGAGAGAGAGAGAGAGAGAGCGAGAGAGAGAGAGAGAGCGAGAGCGAAAGAGATGGGTGCAGGGAGGGATTCCCTGCCGGCAATGGCGATGGTTATGGTGCAGCTGGGCTTCGCGGGCCTGAACATAGTTTCTAAGCTCGCCATGGACGCAGGCATGAACCCTTTCGTGATGGTTGCCTATCGACAGGTCATCGCCACAGTCTTCCTCGCTCCCTTCGCCTTCTTCTATGAAAGGTGTGATGCCACTCTCTTTGTTTTCTCTTCTTCTCCTCCTCCAATCCATTCCTTATTTCGTTCATCCTTGTTCTTCCAGGAAAACCAGGATGAGGATGACGGGCACAGTCCTCTTCCAGATCTTCCTTTGTTCCATCTTCGGGTGAGTTCCCTTCCCCTAACCTGCGCCATCAGAACTTCCCATATTTCCTAATCTGCCTCTGATCACTCTGAGGCTATTCTCATCGCCCAGAGCGACACTGAACCAGCTTCTCTACTTCGTGGGGCTCAAGTTATCCACCCCAACAATCGCATGCGCCCTCAGCAACACTCTCCCCGCCATCACCTTCATCTTGGCCGTTCCCTTCAGGATGGAGACGGTGGAGGTGAGAACCAAGGCCGGATCAGCAAAGGTCCTGGGGACGGCCATCTGCGTCGGTGGGTCCATGCTGATGACCTTCTACAAGGGAAGCCTCGTCCGCCTGCCACCGTCGAGTATCCACTGGCGCTACGCAGAGGAGGTCGCCGGCGAGGTTCCCTCCGCCGCCGGCGAAGAGATGGTCCTCGGCGCGACCCTGGTGGTAGCTAGCTGCTTCGCCTGGTCCGTCTGGTTCATCATCCAGGTAACTGGTTAGAACAGCCTCACATTAGTCTCTGTGTACGCGAAGATGAGCGAGAACTTTTCCATTAATTTCTGTCTACAGGCGAAGATGAGCGAGAACTTTGCGTCACCTTATACGAGCACCGCCATTATGAGCCTTATGGCGAGCCTTGAGTGTCTGGCCGTCGGCGCCGCTGTCGAGAGGAAGGCCGCCGGCTGGGCCGTCGGCTGGGACATCCGCCTTGTCGCCGCCTTCTACACGGTACGTACGTCCACCGCATTCCTGCTGCTGACATTCCGCCGCCGTATGACGCAACCTCCGTAGGGCATAGTCGGCTCCGGCCTCGCCTTCGGGCTCATGTCCTGGTGCATCCAACGGAGGGGCCCCTTGTTCGTCTCCATGTTCAGCCCGCTACTGCTCGTCATCGTCGCCGTGCTCGGGTGGGCAATCATGGGGGAGAAGATCTACCTTGGCAGGTTAGCAGCCTCGAACCAGAAGCTCCTACACAGATCACCAAGTTATAAATTTCCACGGACTTTGTGATGAAACCAGCCGCTCTTCTTCAGCATGGTGGGCTCTGTTCTCATTGTCGGAGGGCTCTACTTGGTGCTCTGGGGGAAGGGGAGGGAGCTCCGCGGGACCAGCTCCACCGCCGGCAAGTCTTTCGACGAGGAGAGAGAGCTGGGTTTTGCCACGCGGTCCCCCCGCCCCACAAGCTGAGTACCAAGTCTTGTAGACTTGAAGGTAGGGTGTGCCTTCGACAAAAAACCCATTTCAACCGAATGAAGTAAGAAAGCGATATGATAATTCGGAAAACATTCAAGGAAGAAAAAAATGATTACCCTTGATTAGTGGTTCTTATTTACATCACCAAAATGGCAGTTTTAACTCATATAAAATGACAGATTTGACCATCTTGGAACGGGGATCGGCACATCTCCTATGTGGCAGCATCTTCATCGTTGATATCTTACTAAAATAAGATGTGTTAGATAAGAGCTCATTGGATTGATGATTGATCATGGATGAAGAGACCAGATTTCATTATTGCGTGGTTGAAAGAAAGAGTCTTATCCAACGGAGGAACATCCTCTCCGTTGCTAGACAGCCGTGTATGTGATGTGATCATTTTTGCTTCAGACATTTTTAATGTGAATAATTGTATTTATTCGTTCTTATTTAATTTATTTTGTCTCATGATTTTTCTCTAATAATATTATGTAAGATATTTCAGTTATATTCCAAATAGGCAACTACACGATATGCTATACGTTTTTGTGATAAATCTTCCCTTTCCTAAATTATTAAAATTCATCTGACTATGGAATCGCCTCAAACCTAGGTCCACTTCTATTTATTTACATACATATCCTAAAAGTTATGCAATTAGTACCGTTCTTAACAACCATTATTCAATTATTTGTTTTTTTCAGTGTTCTATTCGGTACCAAGAAGAAGAGACATGATGACCATAATGCACTTATCTGCTTCTAAAGGTAATCAAGTTGAATACTACATGGCCCAGTCAATCAAAGTAGGTCAACCAATATAATAATGGTAGACGGGCCTTCGAACTCAATAAATTCCAGTTAACTAACCTTATAAAAAAACCCCATAACAACAAAGCCAAATAATATTACATCGAAAAGTGTATCTAACGCTACCTTGTTTAACCAACTACATTATCACTTCCTATAATCATCTTCCAGCCCATAGTGGCAACCCTATACTAGATATTATAGCCATTTAACTCAAGGTGGCAACCAATCATCACAGCCGCATTAATGAAAATTTTGTGCTAATGTAACAAGGGATGCTTTAATCAATGAAATCTAACCGTAACAAGTCAAACCCCAGATTTATTGCCTCTATTAGCTCTCCCTTAATAACTCTAAGATGATTCTTATTACTCTCTCTTCCTATCTCTCTCTATCTCTATCCATATATATATATATATATATATATATGTACTCCCTCTTTCTAAATGCCCATTTGATACCTCTTAGAACATTTTCTGATAGCTAGCTCTAAGGGTGCCATTTCTGTAGGCTCTTTAAAAACGTTCATGTTGATTTACCATGGCCAAGATCATCCTCAAAACCCAGTATAGAAAACCATTGTCCCCACTTTGTGATGAGAAAAAAACTTTAGAAAATGTGTAGCACAACATGAAATATGATTCGGGCAGATCTATTGAGATAAGAATAAATTACTAGCAAGTGCCCCGTGCTTTGTGTTGGAAACACCTCTAAACGGGAAAGCTGTACACCCAACAAAATAAAGCCCTCGTTTCTCATAATGCGTTCCAAGAATGGCTACTACACGATGATCAGTCTATAAGAAAAAGACAGATCAGAGACTATAGAAGTCAATCTATCAACCAATTCGAGAAGACCAATAGTTGGGTAGATGGAATGCAGAAAATAGTGCCAATTGCAATATCAAACAATAAAATATGGAATAATTATAAATAATAATGTCGTATATACAGACTTGCAGTAGGAGGAAGAACACTAAGTCTGAATCTAGATCACCTGAAGTGCCATCAGAGTTCAGTGACAACCTGCACATTAGAAAGAAGAAAAAAAGAATAAGCAGTCAGCTACACATTATTGAAAGATTATGTAGGAATTTATGATATCTTCACTGCCACACGCCTTTTTCATGAATCGCATATTTCTCATAGAAAAGACTGATTTATTTTATTTCTCTTTAAGTGGCTGACTCCCTATAGTTACCCAGTCCAGAATCATTCAAAGCTGTCATAACATAGTATCCTAGAACACCAGATCCAGATTCAGGCCAGAGATCAGGACTGGGATTGTCATTATTAGCCTATCTTACTCTATGCACCGAATTTAGGCCTGTAGGCTTCTGACGCCATTTATGTGCAGATCAATCAATTTGGCTAACCTGCATTAGGGTCAACAGCCCCAAATCGTCTTCCTATACAAGTACATCTATACAAGTACACTGTCAGGTCGTGGTTTGCTGCAGCTAATATGAAATTTACAGCACACCAGATTATTTTATAGCTGGTCAGGCCCCATACTGGATTATGTTTAACCCTAGGGCTAACTTAAGCAGAATTTTTTTTTTATGAGATATTACCTCTGACCCAAATCTTAGGATGTCAGCGCGGGCCATTGCTTCTGCTTGAGCAATTCTTTGCAGGAATATGTGAGCCATTTCTTCAGCCTATCAAGAAAATGAGAAAAGAATGATAACCATAAACTTTTAATACAGCTTGCAAATCCACGTCCCAGGAACCCACCCTCTGATAAACCAGCTTCGGGTTATGAATCATGTCACCAGGTGTTGGCTCCAACTTCTTTGTGGAAAGACTCAGTCGATCTTTTTCATGGTCATGACTCAAAATCATCACCTGTTTTGTAGAGTGTTCAAAAGAATGGTTAATTGGAGGTAGTCTACGAATTCTAGCACAGAGATATCAGAGTTTAGATACCTTCAATACATCACCAGGTTTAAAAATTGCTGAAACATCAGAAACATGGTCATGGCTGATCTGGCTAACATGAAGTAGGCCAGTTAGTCCACCAATGTTGATAAGGACGCCATAAGGCTTTAAGCTCTGGACTGTTCCTGTGACAACAGACCCTACTGCAGGCTGCGCGTTACTATCTGAGATTGTTTTGCTATTGCTGAGGACAAGCCTAGATTTCTCTTCATCAACCTCCAGAAATTTTAAAGGAAGCTCCTTCCCACTTAACTCTTCTAAAGTTGATTTCTGGTCATCACATTTAAAACAAAACACAAGTTCATTAAAACATGAGAAGGCAAAGGATTGGGGGAACTTAAAGTAAGTCACATAGATGCTCTAAGAGAGCATAGGGTTAGGCCAGGACTAAAAGTAAAAAAACATAGACTGAAACAAAATTGGGAGAATCTGGTTTGAATAGACAAACCGTCAGTATCTGTGAAAATGGAACAAAGCCACGCAAACCCTCTACTACCACCAAGACACCTCCTCTGTTTCCTCCAATGATCTGCGTGAATAAAGTCTCAGGGATAGCAACTGAAACACTTTTCAATTAAAGTCTCAGAAAAGGACACTTTTCTGGCAATAGCCAAGCATAATAAGGAGGATAGCAATTGAAACAATCAATCACGGAGTCAGCTATTAGGCAAATATATACAGCTTTCAGATGACCCCTTCCTACATATATAAAATTCAAAAGCAAATTAAAAGAAAAGCTAGTAATGCTAAAATGAAGTCCACAAAAACTTTAAGGATAACAATTAATGTAAAGGCTTCATCTGAAGCAAACTTCTTGAAAATGTTGAGGACAAAGTGCTCATGGAAATCTTAATTGCTAATCTTCTTGAAGCTTCAAATTCCAACGGCTCTTGAAGTATTCATTCATTTTACAATGTCATACATAGACTTTGAGTCGGTGGCTCGGAATTTATGTCAGACAGCAGCATCTCTTGAAGCAATTCAATTCACAATGGTATATAGCGGCTAAATCAGGAAAAAATACAATCTAGATTGACTACACAATGCTTTCTCATTAGATGCCTACTTAGCCAAGAAAATTATTATAAGTTTTTTAAAATAATGTCAAAAAGGATTCTATTTCATTGAATAGTGTAGAAACTAATAAGGTAGCTGAAGCCAAAGTGAAGCATGGAACCTTGAATACACAAGAGAAGAAAGAAACAGAAAATGAGTTGGGGAAAGAGCTATTTCTGTTCCAAGGCGTTCTATCATTCCATCTTCCTTTAACGGAAAGAGCTTTTCTCAGTGTCCTAGAAAATAAGAATGATTAATAGCCGTAGGTAGATAAAGGACCTCCTTCAAAAGAGAAAAACACTACTAACGTTCAAAACACTACTAAAAAATTTATAATTATGATACAGGATATCTATATATTTTATTGCAATTTTTCAATTATACAACAGTCCATGCACATATATTTACTACCAACCCTCTTTTAAATCAATAATATTGAGAAAAAGCATGGACTCATGCTTTCTCACATTAGCACATTATCCAAAAACTATTCTACATACTAAAGAATCTAACTGTCTTAGAGGCTCATTATCTAATAAGGGAAATTAGGTCCACTTGCCCAAAAAGTGTGGTCATCATGTTGAATGTCCCAAATTTTGAGGAATGTTGTTAAGCAAGTCCTTGGTGCAAAACTTAATAACAAAGCATGTATTGATTGTTGTACTTCACCAAAAGATAGTTTGCCAAATTCTGACCTCTTTACTACAAGCAAAACTTAATAGAACCTCAGCAAATTCTTCATAAAACTCTTTCCAATCCAACAACATAATCAAACTTTTCTTTTTAAAAGGATGTTCATGAAAATCCTCTTCTTTCATTTGACATTCAAGATCTTTTTTACTATTTTTTTAAGGACATAGATGCTGTCTATGATGTAATGGTTGGTGTTGTCATCAAATTATTATAAATTTTCTAGAATAAAATGTTAAGTACCCATATCAACCATATCACATTTCATCTACAGTATATATATATATATATATATATGATTTTAGCAGTAAGTATGATTATAAAAGTTTTAGCTGTGTTAGTTTAAAATATTTTTTGATCCAGTTAACTTCGTTAGAGCATGGGTGCCTATTTGCTTTCATTCTTGATTTCCAAACCATAATAGAAAGAAAAGATTACTGGCATGTGATATGAATTTAGGTTCTGAACTTGAAAAGAGTGCCCATGATCAATTATCATTACATGTCATGCTAGAACCGTACTGAGTTTCATTAGCGTCATTCTAACCAACAACTATTGAGTTAAAATACATTTCCAAAAGCTTGATTGGCTTTACATTAAAGTTCAAGAAATTCAACTCTTGAGAGAGAACTTATCTCAAGAAATTTAATTGCCTCTATCATGTATAAGACATTCAAAAAGGTGAACTGGGCATTCGAAACCTTACTCTTAATACCACTTACTTTAGCCAAAGCTAAAACGTAAATCTACAAAGAAAGGAAGAGGGAAAAAGAATTAAGGAAAAAAAAGCCATTCGAGTACTCCTTGTGATATGATGAGTTATTTATGAATCTCTAAGAAAATAGGAGCTAATAAAAAAATTACTTGATAAAGGATGACATAGATAAGAGGAAAATACTACCAGTTTGCTAAAATAAAATATCTCCAGGAAAATATGCACTGTTACTTTTGGGCCCTTCCTGGTTTCGTTTAGTTGTCTTCTACGTCAACTAAAGAATAAAGAGTAGCATTAATTAAATGGAGATTTTCAACAAAAAAAGTCCTCCTAAATGGTAATAGAGAATGGAGACAAATGAAGCCTTTATGTGAACTATGAACGATAAATGTTTTAGAAATTGGAGTGAAGAGATGTTCTCATATTAGACAGCATCAAACGTGGTTCATATCAGAGAATAATCTTTGGTTAGTCTATCTTCCATCAAATGAGATCTATATTTTAGGAGAAGCGATTGTAACTTAAAAATCCCATAAGCTTTGTCAAGTGCTGGCCTCATCACTGCCTTCACCATTCCCCTCCCCCATTGCCCTTTCCAGTATAAGGCCAAAGATGAATGAGACAAAATAAAATGAAAATATAATCAGGTTGAAAGTGCTAATATTTATATTAAAGTCGCCTTATAACAATCAACTACATTAGAAACAAGCTCTTGAATTCGTAGAAACATTAATGAAAAAAATTAAAATTATCAATTTAACATGTTTGAATCTGATGGGCTTAATCCAGTGAAATAAAAAATAAAAATTAGGGCTCTCAACTTCTAAGCTGAACCTGAGATTTACTAACTTCGAAACATAGTCAACGACACATATTGTTCATAGTATAAGACCAATCTACATTCTAATCTCACAACTAGAAAATTCATTCATGAAGGTACTTAATTTAGGACTAACATATCTAAACTTTTGACAGAGCTGAATATTCAAAGGGATCTGAACAAGACAGAGAGAAACAAATTGCACCAAAAGTTCTCACCTTACCCATTACAACAACGTTTTCAGCTTGAAGCTGCCTACACCTTTCCCATGCAAGATCATACTGGATAGGTCGTAGACCTAAAACCAGGCCGTTTTCTTTATTCTCTCCAACTATAACAAACTTCTCCTGGAAACCAGGGAATATACCTGCTTCAGCTACATGCTTAACTCTGTAAATACAAGCCTCTTGGACAGGCAAATATGCTGAAGACTTGGCAGTGACGTCTACAAGAGCACCATTCATATCTGTGTCAAAAACTGTTCCATTAACCTGGAAAACCGACAAATTAGCAACAATCTCTGATTAAAAGATAATGCTCAGTACTGTCATTCCCAAGATTTAGCAAATCCACAGAAGATTGAGAAAAATGAAGGCACTTCTAATTTCAAATTATCTTCCAAAATATTGACAATGCACTGGGGCAATAACCTTAGGCGGGGAATCATAAGACATCAACCTCAAGCATGAAACCATTAATCTAAGAAAACTTCTGGAACACAAAAAATTAATCTCCGTTCACTGTTACTCTGACGCAGTATCAAAGAAAATATACAAAAACCATCCAGAAGTAATTCTAGGAACGATTTTAAAATCAGTACTTTCATCCCACCCTTGAAAGCCATTCCAGTTAAGATGCATTCTAGAGAGACATTTTACCTTGCCACTGGAGTCTGGAAGAATTCGTGTTAGGGACGACAACTTTAAGTTACAATCTGCTTGCATGTACTTTGCCAAATGAAAGAGAGGCTATCTCTGTCAAAAAATTCCTATGCAAAGGAAGACATCATTTCTAAGAAGTCATTCACAAATTGATGATAGATGGCCCTCCTTGACTTTAGTAAATAATGTCTTACTGAGATAGGTACTAGACATACATCGAAATTTGATTGCATGTGATTGAGGGGCTACTCATTGGGCCCTCAATGACATCCAACAAAAAAATTGTGGGGCTACTACATGTACGTGATTGAGGGCCCAATGTTTTCAGTGGTATTTTATCGCTTAAAATATATCTCCATATTTTTAATGAAGTGGTCTGTAATTAGGAGGGGAATGTGGCCCAATTGAATTGCATTAATAAGTCAGAGTAACCCACCTATAGAAACCCCAATAGCATTCAGCCATTAGGAACTAGAGAAAGATCGTGAGGGTTCAGATGTACTAATAGCAGACTGAAATAAGTATTATAAAGTATAAAGGCACAATTTCATCGTAATTATGCAAGCAAGAGAAGTTAGAGGGGTAAACCACGTTAATAGCATCAAAAACCCAATAACATACACTGCATCTGGATGAAGAAATTATAATAGAAAAAGTTTCATAAGGTGTAAAAGAACCATATTTTCTCCCGCAATATGGTTATTTCAGTTCCTGCTATGCTAAAGTAATTCATTGAGAGTAAAGGCCGACGATATAAAAAGTTACCAAATTAGTGGCCACAAATACTGGCACTCTAGCAATACAATAAACACAGGATGAAACACAGACATGAACATACTCATTAGCTTAGAGATATTATTCTCATGCATCTACCTTCGTTTTTGGATGGCTGTCATAAGCTAATAGATATTGTTAGTACCCTTCCATTAAGTAATTAGGCAAAGGCATTTAAACTCAAATTCCCCATATAAAAATTAGACCAGTAACACCATTCTCTTGGGAGAAGAACAAAAGTGTCAACTAAAGCCAGCAGTCATTTATCAAAGATCTCAAATCAGATGACTATAAGACTTACATCTGATAAGAAATGACCCTAGAAAGGGACGATATTATACCAGCTAGTTTATTCAACACTATAGATTTCAATAATCAAACAGATAACAGTCATCACTTAGAACACATGAACATGAGCTACTTAGGTTTACAAAGTTAGATGCACAAGCAATAACAGTTGAATAAATCTGCAGATGAGGGCTATAGGAAAGGCTAAGAAACAAAGAGAGGAGTCAAGTTCACAGGATAGAAGTTATCCTTTCCTATATCACAACAAGAAATTCATTCTCTCCAAACAAGAGAAAGAAGAAAAACGAAAACAGTTCCCACTAGGAATTGAGGCACTTTCATCAACCATCATAATTGTCATAGTTACTCAACTTGTCCACAGCTCTCCCAACAGATACAAGTGACTCTCCAATGTATCCTGCGTAGCCTATAATGTTACTCTGAATTTTTCCCCAATCGTATTCACAATCGCATGGCATTACAAAAATAAACGTCAAAGTGACTCATTAAATATATAGAAAACATTCTTACACAAAGGGTGTAGGTTGGGAGGGGGTGCCTTCAAGATAGCAGTTAGGTGGGTGACTCATGTCCTTTCCTCTTTGAACTAGCGACTGAATTTCAGGACATCCAGTTCCTGAGGTGTGATATTGAAGCAGCCATGCTGTAAAAAAACTTTTTGTAGGTTCTACTGGGAGTAACGAAGAAAAGATCATCATAAAAGCAAGCGAATTCGAAGAGCTGTAATCTATCATCCAATCGAAGGTCAGAAAAAACAACACGTTATTCTAGCTCAGATGTTGTGCCCCCAGGACAAAACTTTTCTGGGTTGCAACAATTCACCAGTTTTCTTGGCTATTATGCATCTATTACTGACAGCAGCACTCACTCTTAGGCCGTAATCTTGGACATCCTATTCAAGCGGTAATTGCCATTTTATTAAGTAATGGAGCATGTTGCTGTTGACATCCTTTTCTTCTCTCGTCAGACTCCCTTTCTTTGCCAGACACTTATTTTTATACAACAAAGAGCAGTTAATCAAGCTTTACAATGAGTTTTTACTGAACCAGGAATGGGTTCACTCCTGTCCACTAATCAATGTGGACAGGAGTGAACCCATTCTAATGTCCATTCATCTCCCTTTCATATCCAAAACTAGATACGATATGAAACCAGATGCGAATGAAGTCCCTACGCCTATTCAGAAACATATGACGCTACTGAAGCATTCAAGTCTAATGCTCAGCAGCCAAACGGACATTAGCCGTATGTCCACATAGTTTGACCTTCTTGCCGCATTCTATTTGAGTGTATCAATAGGCGCACATAAGTAGGATTGTCCTTCTTCCAATGCAGAATTAAAGCAAAAAGGAGTAATAGACTGCGTAATTCCCATATTGTCCAGCCGCGATTGTAAGCGATCAAATAAGACAGCCACATTGAGGGAGTTGAGGAAACAAGACAAGAGCCACGGGAGAAGATAGATCAATACCTGGGTGCCGACCTCGGATTTGAAATCGTACTTGTCCAGAGCTTCCAGGAATTCCTCGACGGTGAAGGAGACGCCATCCATGGGGGCAGTGTGGCATCGCTCGTAAGCCGCTTTAAACTGCTCCTTGAGCCGCTGCCTCTCCCGAGTCTGCGCATTGGTGCGTAGGGCCGAGCTCCGGGCCACCACGACGGCTCTGTTCTTAGAGGAAAACGGAGGGTGACTCCTGGAGAAGGTGCGAACTTCGCGGGAGAAAGAGTACCCGATTCTTGTGACTAGGCAGGAGGATGGAGAGGGGCTCCGAAGCCAGGCGAGCTCCCGAAGAGCTGGACCCATGCCTCAGCTCCGGCCTCCTGGCGTAGGTGAGGGAATAAAAATTCGCCTTTTAGCATAGCTAATGACTGGGTTGAAAAAGAGATTCCATGGATATCTGAGTACATCATTGGCCCGATTCCACTCTCTTACTTATGTGACTACCAAGATAAAACAGATAGATTTTTTTTTTTTTTTTGGATAACTGTGTTGGGCCAAACTCCTCAAGAGGTCACCCATCCTGGTACTTCACACGCCCAAGCACTTTGGTGCCTCTCAAGCACATTCTTCGGAGATAGATGCCACTTGTGTCTCTCGACATCGTGACAGGGGTGCCTCTCGGCATGTTCTTTGGAGCTGAGGGCATCTTGGCATGGTGAGAGGCATCTTGGCATAGTGAGATGGATGCTATATATGACATGGTGAGATAGATGTCACATATGCCACATACGTTCTTCGAAGCTCAAGACATCTATCTTGGCATGGTGACAGAAGGGTTCGCAACATCCTAGAGAGGTCACCCATCCCGGTACTTCACATGCCCAAGCACTTTGGTGCCTCTCAGGCACATTCTTCGGAGATAGATACCACTTGCATCTCTCGACATCGTGACAACTCTCCCACTAAAGGGAGTTAAAATAAATAGATTTTAAGAGTATTGAAGATACCGTTTAGCCTATTCTTTCTTCTCAATAGTAATCTCTAGCCACCTAACTTCGTAAACACACTATTCATGTCCTCAAGAATGATATTCACATATAACCCATCTCCTGGCCATTTGATGTTACCTGAAACTATAGTTATTTTATCTTTGTTCTAACTGGATGAAGGTAAAATAAGGCTCAAAATTATAATAATTGGTCAGATTTGTGTCCTAACACTTTCGATGCTCACATGGTGTTCTCAAAACCATATGACATCATCATTGAAGAGTGTTCATTGAGATATATGGCCAGATGTTGAACCATATTGACTATTGGCAAGAGTATGTGCACTCTAGTTACGAGAGTCACACATATCAGAATGACAGATGTGCAGAGTAGAGTAGCAAAATGTGTAAAGCGTTTGTAGTCTATCCAGGTTCAAAAAATCATCTTGTTTGAACTTATGCATGCCACATCAGTAAATAGAGCTAACATTTATCAAAAATTCCATTTCGTCCATTTTTATGAGATTTTTTTATGCATTGAAAAAGGAGCATAATGCAGTAAACGGTGCAAAAACTTTTCAAGTTGACAATTTCCCCAAAAAGGGCAAATTTAGAATGCAACATCTGAAAAATGGAAAAAGTTCAAAAAAGAGATCCATGAAATGGTGAAACAAATAGGCAAAAGTCAACTTGCCACAAAATTTTGACATTATATCATATTACATCAGGTTTAAATTAAAATCATGAAGGTAAATTTGCATTCTAGGTAAAGAACTAAACATTGTAACCATTTTAGGATTTTCCATATGGTCTGTTTTATGACATTTTATTTTGTTTATGACCTGAATTTTGTTTTGACTAAAGGAAGGGTGTTCTGGAAAAAAGCTCTACATTGGCACCATGAAATTTTCCCTGAAAATGGTTCAACAATGCAAAATTTCCCAAATTTTCCATTTGAAATTTCTATTTGGCCCATTTTTACAACATTTGTTTATTTTATGTGTTACATTGTTATTTCGTGAACAATTTTGTTATGTGATCAGTTCATGTCACAACCTCTGACATTATCTTAAATTAGGTTTTAGTTCCAAGTTTCTATTCAGAATAAAGAATTTGTCATTTATGAAACAAAGTGGAAAACAATATCATGATACAAATCTAAAATTTTCCATTTGGTCTTAGATTCTCTAAACAATTTTCATGTAAATCAAAATAAAATATGAGAACAGCAACACATGAATTAGTTGCAAAAAGTTTCCAAATCCACTAAGACCTGCATCAATGATAAAACTACAACATCTTGATAGTCATTTAAGGAAAAAAAAAATCTTTCAATTGTGGAAATGCGGCAAAAAATGATAAAAATGAACACGATAGAGAATTTTCTTAAGGTTTATCAATTATTTACTATTATACATTAAGTCAAGATCAAATAAATACAACTTCTGGCATGAAATTGATATCACATAGATTTTCCTAATCCTTGAATCCACAAGAATCGGAAGCTACTTGAAATGAACTAGGACTAGAAAAGCACTACTAGAATCAACAACAACTTAAAAATCTCACAAAGAGAAGGAAAATTCGTAATAATTCATCTACCCTTCAGCTTATAGCATGCAAAACCCTATAAATCTAATATGTTCATTTTTGCCTTCAAACATTTATAGGCCATGTTTTTATGGGTTAGATGGATATTTGCTGCTTCAATTGTAAGTTAATATGATCAAAAAATTAAGACAAGACACAAGCTTTTTAAGGGACAAAGCTTTCTATTAGAAAAAGGGGATAAAATCTTCGAACATCAGTTCATCATGAGTTTACAACTTTATCCTTTTATGTGGTTTAAATTACCTTTTAGGCCAAATTTTCTATTGAAAGTAAGGAAATTAGGAACCTGGAAAAAAAGGTTAGAAAGAATTGCAAGATGTAAAAAAATAGCCAAAGATTTCCAAAAATTCCACTAGTAGCAATTTTTTGACCTCTTCTTTTATTGCAAGTAAAACTATGAATTTGGAGAATAAATTCTCTTAATTCGAATGGAATTTTCAAAAAAGATAGGATGCATGAAATTCTGAAATAGTTCACAAAGTATCAATTTGTCACAAATGTTAAGCATTATCAGGTTTAAATGAGGCACTAGATATTTATCTCTATTCCAAGGAAAGATGCATGAAAACATTGGGAAACACCTTGATAAGTTGACAAGTGACGCAGCCATTGTATTGGGGAGGCAGCCAGAGTTTTGAGGAGTTGAAATGAGGATGAGAAACCAGTTCCTCCATCTTGAATCATTGAATTCACAAGAAGAGACTATTTCTTGAATTCAAGAGCCAAGAGACAATAGAAGATGGTTTTAGGGTTACAATTTTGGAAACCCCAAAAAATCAAGTTAAGTTAGCAAGTGAAGTTTCAAAATGTTTTGGGAATAAGATAGTGACCAGGAACAAAGATGTGGATGCATTGTTCACGCCCTTTTTGGGCCTTTCTACGTCTTATCATCTTTCGTCCATGTTCGCATTACAAGAATACTTAGACCATCACTTTTTTGCTTCTATTTTTGTTTTTTTACATTAGTCTTCATGATCGTCATAAACATCCATCACATTAAAAGCAAAAAATATACCCATTTTTGTAGAGTTTTGAGTGACCCATATGTCTTGATCTTCAACTTCAACTTGCTATAAGTAATAGCTAGAAACTTTTATTTTCTTAGGATGAGCAGCAGCTTACATAACTAGTTTATTACACACTTGAATTTTTTTTCCCACCTATTCTGATCAGCAGCCTCAGCATGCCAATTTGATGCCCACATCTGCAGCTTGCATGTTTGTTAGACCCAAGTAGGATGAGCTTCAAATTTTGTGATCATATAGTAGATAAGGAACCAGATCTTGTACTTTAATAACCTAAAGTTGACGATAAAAAGGACTTAATGGGTTCGATTTTAATGATATTACATTAAAGTTTGATTGACTGCACACTAATGAAAAGTACTGATGATAGTAGATAAGGAAGGAGAATTATAGGTAGGCTTGTTAGGGGAAGATCACAATAAAACTTATCCCGTATGTGTCTTCTTCCTTCATCTATACATTTACCGAATCATTTTTCCACATTTCACAAAGATGTCGCTAAATTGAAACATTAATTTAGGAGATATATATCGGTTTTTTTCCAAATTATTGCCTTTTAATACCAGTTTATAGTCTATATAGGCTTTGAAACCTCGTTAATTGAAGCCCCTCCCTTACAGCTGCTTATGTGCAAAAAAAGAAGTGGAGAGGGCCCATTCTCACCGAGGATGAGGTACAAGGTCGGCAGTGAGGCTGCGGAGTTGGCACGCAAATAGGGGTTGGGCATAGCAAAGCAGTTTGAATTTACGAAAAAATCCCTGAAAAATGATTTTCAACGCGTCTGAATTTCTCTCATTTCTTGTTTTCTTTGCCATCACTCCTCGGAAGCATACATAGCAAGGGGCTTATCGGGGAAAAGGGACTGGAGAAGAAGCTGGATGAGAGAGAGAGAGAGAGAGCTTTGGGTGGGTTCGAGCTTGCAGTGTCTGTTCCTCTATCGTAACATCTTACCACTTCTCAAAGCTCCAGCTTTATGGGATTCCACCGATGGTGACGGCGTCTCTGTAGATGCCTTGTCTTCGTATACAGGCAGGCCTTGTCTTATGCTCCGACCTTGAACACCCTTTTGGCTGTTCCAGAATCTCTTCGAATACCACCAGCTTTTGCTTTCTATAAAAGCACCTTAAAGAATGGTCTCTAGATACGCACCCCCCATTTTTAGAGAGACAGAGGGAGGGCGGGCGGTGGGAGAGAGAGAGAGAGAGAGTGAGAGAGGGAGGGCGGGTGGTGGGAGAGAGAGAGAGAGAGAGAGAGAGAGAGAGGGAGGGAGGGCGGGTGGTGGGAGAGAGAGAGAGAGAGAGAGAGAGAGAGGGAGGGAGGGCGGGTGGTGGGAGAGAGAGAGAGAGAGAGAGTGAGATAGAGAGGGAGGGCGGGTGGTTGGAGAGAGAGAGAGAGAGAGAAAGAGAAAGAGATTCTCCCCTTATTGTCTAGCACGACCTCTCTCATTGTTGCATGGCTGCGCACTCTTCTTTGACCAAATATGTCAAAGATAGAATAGGAAGCCGTCCTGGGTTGGTGAGGAGACAGAGTGGGGCTGGTGGGCGGCGGCGGACCCGTAGGATGACGTCACTCACTCGGCAAAGACAGCCACCTGCCCCATATTCATTACTGGGCGTCAAACACGGTTGCTTCTCTAATGGAGTCTGATCTCTTAAAGATTCCCCCCTCTCGCAGGAATCTTCAATTAATCGGCCGCCGGATATTTGTATATATACTGCACCCCTTAAGCTTACGGTGGG